ACACACAGATGGGGTTGGGGGCCCTCGGGAGGGGCATTTTGATGAGCATGCGGGCCGAGCCGCGGAGACAGAGGGACCATGGGCGGGAGGTACGATAGGGATGCGGGATTCAGGGAGGAGAGGACAGAAGCGGGGGAGGATGGGGGGTCAGGGGTGCCGACGGAGAACATGGGCTGGAGAAGGGTGGGGAGCACTGGCTGGGGAGTGGAGGAGCCCGGGATCGGGAGGGGGTAGGTTCGGGCAGGGAACGGGCGGCTAAAGGATGAGAGACCGGGGCAGACGGCCTCACCTGTTCCCCGGGCTGTTGCGAGCGACTGAACCGGGCCGCGGACCACCCATATCGCCTCCAGGCCAAGGGCTCCGCACCCGAATCCCCGAGATCTGCTCTCCGGCAGCCTGGCTGCTGTGCCCGCGCACCGAGGGGGCGCGCTGCGCGTGCCCGGACACGGGGGGCGCGGTCCCTGCCATTAACTCCTTTTGTGCCAGAGATGGCTCAAGTCCTGGGGCATGGCCCAATTCCTCCCGAGCTCGAGCAGGCTCTGCTCCTGCTCCCCATCTGTCACGCACGCCCCTCGGATCACAAACAGGTGATGTTCCGGGGCGGCGAGTCCGAAGTTTACCTGCAAAGCTCGACACCTTGAAATGAAGGGAGAAACTGAGGCACCGCCTGCAGAAGACCCTGGTCACACTCCACGAAGGCACGCCTCCACCTCCCCGAGCACCGGCGCGACTCAGACATCCAGTGGGGGCACTTTGTCCTCGTCCTGTCACTCTCCCAAAGGTCACTGCTGTCCCTTTCTGCTGCTTCTCCTGGGGCGTGTCAGCCTCACTGGCAGCATGCCAGCTGTCCGACCGCCTCCGCCACCACCCCGGATCCGGCTGTTGTCGTGTTCTGTATGCAGTGCCCTGTCCAGTGTTTAGCCCCCACCCCAAGTCCCTCGGAATGTCCCTTAGCCGGCCAAGCCTCCACCCCTGTAGCTCCTTGGAATGTTCATCGGGACAGAACAGGACAGAGCAGAGCTTGTGTCGCCTGTCTGCCCGTCGGGCACCTCCATTGCTGGAGCGCACACCTCTTAAACTTGCTAAGTCCCACGCTTCGTGGGCCTCAAGGACGGAGTTTGTTTGTTTGTTTGTTTGCGTATTTATTATTTATTTATTTATTATAACTTGGGTCTGGACCGCTGCTCCTGGTTTTACCGGCACGCCTGACACTTCTCAGCGACATAGTGCGACTGTGGCCTGGACATTGTCCTGAAGCTGTCAAATCACTGCGTGCCACCCACCCACAAGGCTGGGGCTGGTCCTCCTCCAGCCCAGCTGGCCCGCCAGACGACACTGTTGTAGTATACCAGCGGGCTCTCACGGATAGCCTTGGCTCTAGGGCCCCAAACGTGAAGGCAAGAGGGCTGAGGATGGCCCCGCACAGTTCCAGCTGCCACTCTGGAGCTACACTTCGAGTTATGTGTACTGTAACATGGGAGTGAGCAACAGTTACCCTGGGTGACTGCCAAGGTGGCTCGTGTGAAGACAAGCGGCTCCAGCAGCGGAGCAGACAGACAAGGATGCTTCGTTTTACTGGTCGCCCTTCCTCCTGTTTGATGGTGGCTTGCTAACGAAAGGCAATCTGTCACTCCAGAAAAGTGATTCTCAGGGAAGGTCTCTGTCTAGGACACCGCTTGGTGCATGATGGAGACCGCACGAGGGGACATAAAAGGTATGCGGCATCTGTCACCCCCTCTACCGTGAAGCTTCTTCAAAACAGGTTCCATTGATTGACCCGGTGGCCCCACGGCCCCTTCCCTGTCCCCGTGCTGTCTGGAAACTGGTCGTCTGGCTAAGGCGAGTGTCCTTCCTCAGAGACTGAGGGCCCGAACCTTAGTATGTGCCGGCCTGGAAAAGGGAAGCGGAGCCCCATCCAGTTTGAACTGGGATGATCCGAACGGAGTGGCGGTTCTGAACCGGGGGTTCAGCCCCGCTCCCCGAGGGCCCGCCCGTCCCAGACACGCAGACGTCACACGCACCCTCTGCAAAGAAGCTCTGTGTATTGGGTGCGACAGCTCTGGGGCCTCTATATAAATAACATACAAAACCCCACAGCTGGATGCCTCACGTTAACAAAAATACGAAAAACTCATTAAAAACAGGAGCCTGAGGGAAGAGCCCCAACCGCCCCTGGTGCTTGGCCGGGAAGGGAACAGGGAATTCGGAGGACAGGGTGGGGCCGCATCCGGTGCCCAAGCGGCTCCTCCAGGTGGCTCAGTAGCGTCCAAATATGTTGGTGCTGGGCTGCGGCTGTGTATCTGCGAACAAGCAGACGAGTTCAGGGCTGCGAGGCCAAGCAGGGCGGCGGGTGGGCCCGGGGACAGGGACAGGGACCTCCCCGGGGTGCCGGGGCCGACTGGACCGCAGGGCCGCCCCCCGCCGCCGGCGCCGGCGCCAAGGCTTACTGGAGAGCTGCTGCTGGAGCTGCCGGACCAGAGCCGCCGTCTGCTGCTGCTGCTGCGTCTGCTGCAGCCCCTGGCGCTGGAACTGAGGCGGAAACGGCAAGCGCGACATCGAGCTCCGACCTTGTCCTCGGACATTCCGCTTTGTCCATCCTCATCTCCCGACCCCCTTTGACAGCGTCCGGTCTGGCCTCCCACCTCTGTCCAGCAGCGCCATGTCCCCTGGCCGCGCGCCCGACCTGCGCGGCTGTCCCTGAGC